CTGAAGGTCAACAGCATGTGAAGGACAGTGGAAAGGACACTGACTGGTTTGGGTCGAGATGACAGGAAATGCTGGAAAATAAGGAAATCAGGACTAGCAGGGGGGCATTTTGAGGTATGGACAAAGAGAGAAGGAAGTTCATGTTGTGTGACAGGTGTGCAAGTAGAACTTTTGACTTCATAGAGAAAGCCAAAGTGGAAGTAAGGCTGATGAGAAGACAAATGAGAGTATTGAAGAAATGATTAACATTAACAGTGGAGGAGGCGCGTGGGTATAAGTTTGTAAGTATACAAAGGAGAGCGATCTGAAAGATCTAATTGTCAACACAGAGAATTTTCTAGTCAAACACTACTTTGGGCAATGAACCTGCAGTATTTTCTTTACTCTATCCAAAGTTTCAAGAACCTAGAAAAGATTTGGCATCATACTTTAGTCAGTAGCTTCAATTGCTAATGTAATTTAGGGGGGGGCGTTTTTAATCTTAACCACAACCAGCATTTGGGTCCCAACCTAGTCACTGAAAAGCAGCTGTGTGTGTGTGTGTGTGCGTGTGTGCGTGCATGTTTACACAGGCTGCAGTACGTGTTTGGCCTGAAGCCTTGTGGAGCTGCATCATAGCCGATTGGTATTGGCTGGCCGATGCTAATGGGGTTTCCTTATTTCAGAACAACCTTCCACTCCTCTGTCTTTCAGTCATCTCACTGACAGCAGTGTGTGAGTGTGTGTGTTTGGCCTGCATGGGAGACTGCTTAAAAAAAGCAGGGAGCTGTCACTAGTCCTTGTTGGTCTTGGAGTCCGGTTTTGTGTTCCACTGCATTTTTCTTTTTCTCTCTCTGCCTGTATCTCTGTCTTTAGTTGCATTATTTATTGTTTCTCCTGATTAACAGAGATCTTGAGAGCTGACTAAATCTCAGTCTCAATTGTTCCCTTCAAGAAGTGAATAACTTCGTACTTTACATTCGCAGCATTTTCCTGTCCATGGCCGTATAGGTGCTCATGCTTTGATGTCCTTGCAGAATCCTGGTGCAGTTCCTTTGGCCAAGAGGAGAGAGGACGAGGTGTCAGTAGGGAGCACACCACTGGTCAAACAATCTTCCAATCAGGCCTCAGACTATGCCAGCAGCCCAGTGAAAACTAAGACTGTGACAGGTAGGTTTACCAATTCTAGTATGTGCTTTTTTATATAATGAATGATTGCACTGGCAAATGCATATCATACATGACTTTAAGTCATGCACGTAACGGAAACAGGCTATGCCACATGTCACTAAATTCAGTGTTTTAATTTAGCTGTTTCTCATTGGTATATTAATAGTAGTAATGTTGTTTGTATGGACTGAATTTAAGCTGCTATGTTGTTACATAACATGCTACAATGTGCTGACACCTGAGTGAACCCGTTTCTCAGGACACCACATCTCCAGACATGTCATCCTCTGTTTTTCTCTTCTGGTAGTACTACTGTGGTTCTTCATGCCCAGAAGAGATGAGTGGCTTGGCTATGTGTAGCCTCCCTCTATGCCAGTTTTCCACTTTCCAGGACCCCCTTTTCAGAAAAAAACATATTTGCTGCACATACATAAGTCTGCAGAGTACATGGATTTGTCAGTACACACAAATGAATGCCTTAAGTCTACACACACACACACACACACACACACACACACACACACACACACACACACACTCACACACACGCAACCTTG